CGCAGTGGGATATTTTTGCTGTGTGTCAAAGAGATATTAAAACAATAAACTACATTGCCCTGGGATTTTAGCTTACAAGCAAAATGAAAACAACACAACAAAGATGAGATCATTTTGAAAGGTGGCAAGGCAGAAAAGTCTCCAGGAACCAACCATATTACTGACAGAAAATATTTTGAATCGCAACCTGTTCTTAAGTAGCCATGTTCTGACAACTCTAAATCAACCCCCCATACATGTTGGAATGGAGGGAAGAGAACATGGTTTGTGTTTCAAATTATCCATCCTCTTGATAAACTTTCAGAACTAAGTGGAATATCTGGCTTATTACACATAAATAACTCTAAGGTTTTTTGTTTTTTTTAAGAGTGGAAGGTTGACTCTTTTACTTTTTCCTGCAGAATATAAATTGATCCAGATCAGGGGTGAAATCCAGCAGGTTCTGGAGAACCGGTAGCGGAAATTTTGAGTAGTTCAGATAACCGGCAAATGCCCCCTCTGGCTGGCCCCAGAGGGGGGTGGGAATGGGGATTTTGCAGTATCCTTCCCCTGCCACGCCCACCAAGCCACGCCCACCAAGCCACGCCCACCAAGCCACACCATGCCCACTACGCCCCGCCCACAGAATCGGTAGTAAAAAAAATGAATTTCACCACTGATTGAGATCATGAAAAGCTGCATCTGTATGCATTTACTTTACATTTGAAGAATCTAGTTGTTCTTTTTTAATAAGAAAAAATTGAAATTGAAACATCTCAGGAGATGTTGGAGTTCAGTCTTGACTTATTCACAATTGCAGGAAATTTCTGGATAAGTTTGATCTTGTAGGAGGTGTGTGTGTGCGTGTGTTTGTGTGTACGGACGGATATGCATTAAACTTGTATAATTGTATTGTATTGTATTTTTATTAATTTTGTATGCCACCCACTCTCGGAAGACTCCGGGTGGCTTACAATAAAAAAGAGAAGGGAGATACAAAAAATAAAACAGCAGTTTAAAATTACAACAACAATCACAACCTAGGGTGGGGTCCGACAATTCAACAGCCCCAGGCCCGCCGGAACAGCCAGGTCTTCGTCGCTTTACGGAAGGCCGGAAGGGTGGTAAGGGTCCGGATCTCAACGGGGAGATCGTTCCATAGGGCCAGAGC